TTTCTTCAGGTCATTTCAGATAGTCCCACTAGACCTATTCTGAAATGTCCTGAAAAATCACATCTGATTGATCTAATCCTAAAAAATGTTCCTCATAAATACACAGCTGCTTCTGTATTCGCAAATGACACTAGTGAGCACTGTGTTGCTGCCACAGTTGCAAAATACAATAAATAAAATGAACTGACGAGCACAATGAAACATATTTTATAGACATGCATATCTGCTTCTGTACATAACTTTCAACAGCTCATTATTTCTTACACAGGTACACAGACATTTTTTTTTCTGTCATTCGGATGCTACAGTTGCAGCGAGGTGATGACATGCCATCAGTATCCAAATTGAAATTGCTTGGTGTGCCTCATTACCCACAGACAACGTGATCACCAGGCTGTTTGTATCTCCACAAACTATTCCATAAAGTCAGCTTCAGAGGGGAAATCATCTGCCCTGTATGGCATATTTAGTGAGCAGTATATTCATGTTTGAGGTGTTTCCTATTTAAACCTTTGGACCCCAAGAACATTAATTTAAGTTTGAGAGAGACTGGTCTGGCCCCTCCATGACAAAACTCTCAGTGACTCACCAGAGTGCACTTAAAATTGAAGAATACTTTGTGACTTGTCATTAGCAGGAAACAGGAAACACAAGCAAAACAAACAAGGTAACACACATTTGTCAAGATGTTGGACATGGACAGGGGAAGAATGAGTCACAGTGAGCTTAAAGACCCTCTCCGATGAAAATATAGTTTTTAACCTTGTTATCGTTAATGTTTTTTTATGTAAGACAAGACATGGGTTTTCATACGTCAGGACCCAATCCCGTCAATTTGTAGAGACAGAGGGTGAGGTAAAATAAACCCGAAACCTTGTCAGCACAGAGAGTGAGAGTTAGCATTAGCACAACCACTAACACTGTATCAGCCACTGTCAGTTGCGAGCTAACAAACAACATAAACAAATAACAGACTGCGCTAACCGTTACGTCTGCTAATCACCAGTTTTGATGCGCAACAGACTCCTCATCTGAGTCTGGGTCTGACTGAGGCTCAAACATGAGGCTGAGTCTGTCTGATGTTTCCTCTAATGCTAACCAACCTGATACACACCTGTCACCGAAACCTTGTCAGCACAGAGGGCAAGAGTTTGCATCTGCACAACCACTAACACTGTGTTAGCCACTGCTAGTTACAAGCTAACAAGCTGACAAACAGCATAAACAAATAACTACACTAAGGTCTGATACATATGCTTGTTGTTTGGTCACAACAAACTCCTGAGTCTGGGTCTGACTGAGGCTCAAGCATGTGGCTGATTCTCTCCGGCGTGTCCTCCGCTAACTATCTTGATGCGCGCTGCTCTTTCACCTGTCAAACCTAGAGTATTTTTACATAGTTTAAAACATGTCTGGAGAGGAACTTCAAAATACCCAATCAGTAATCAGAGTGCTCTTTCTTAACCCAATCACCTGCACGTGAGTGTGCTGCTTCCAGCTCATAACACACACTAAGTTTGCTCAGAAAAGTGCAATATAGAATACATCTAATTTTTATCATTACTGAACCTGTGATAACTGATTTTTTTTACTGACAATACTGACATATCGTCACCTTCTGTTTTGAAATGTTGAACAAATAGTTGCTTATTTAGACACACATTAGTTGTACAGCAACATTCATCAGCTTGTGGAGTACAGTGACTTTTTAGAGCTAAAAGGAAGTGAAGGAAGGCACGGCAAATGATTATTTAAATACACCACAGGACTCAAGATGAAGTGCAAAGGCTTCATTATGGTTCAGAGAATGTATTTGAAACCCACTTTCTGACGGGGAAAATCAGTACGTGACGGCGTTTGACAGCTTTTGTGATTTTTCAAAACAGAACGATCAAACAATTACTCCTGTTTTACATAGCAATTGGACTGGTGTGCAGAGATGTGAAAGCAGGCAGTGTCTGAACTTCTCAACTCTTTTTTTTTTATCTAGCTTATCTTCACACAACTACCGGCGCTGCTTTTTATGTGTACTTTCTGTTTTTCCAAATTTGTACAGCTCTTTGCGTTGTGGCTACCAAGACACACAGAACACACTTCTGGAGGAGAGATCAGGGAGGGAGTGTGATGCAGCGAGGAGGAAACTATGAGAAGCTTATTGCCCCATGCTTGTGTGTGTGCATTTGGAACAGGTATAAACACTTTCGCCGTGAGACGGGGTTGAACAATATACAAATTAGTCAGTTTGAAGGATCATGAGGCCGTAAACTGTAATCTGCATTTTATCAAAAGTCATTTGTATCTGCAAACTATTCTGTCCTGATGTAAGAAAAGTAAGTAACAGTTTGACAGTTTGAGGATTTAAATGCATACTATATTGGAAACACAAAGTACACGGAGTGCCAAGTTTGCCGAGGAAGAATTTGTATTTATTCTTGTCTTCATTCTGTAACTGAAGCTGATGCTATTTGTTATGGATTTCTTCGTTTTTGTGTTCTTGTAGAAAGGGCTACCTGCTGCTCTACTTGTGTTTACTGTTGTCTCTCTGCTTATTTGAGATAATTGCCTCAGTGTGGCTAGGGATTAAGAGAGGGCTACTTTAAATACCCCAGAGTCCCACACTGCCATCTCTCACTGCATTATTACCAAGCAATTGTAGTTTCACTACATCTCTCTGAAGCCCCCATTGTGTATGTGTGAACATACACACACACACACACACACACACACACACACACACACACACACAGACACACACACACACACACACACACACAAACCACACAAGCCTTTAATCTTCAAACTCACAAAAAACCTTTCCCATGATGAAATTTTAAGAAAGGCTCTGTCCTCGATTTTACAGTCACAACAAACTACCAAAGAATATTTACTATAATTTTTTCCTCAAAATAACAATGTCCAATCTTATTACCTTGTTGGACGCGGATGATTTGCCAAATCAAAATAAACTGATCCACTGGACCTGATGTTTATCAGAATGACTTTGTCACCTCTGATGACAGGCAGGAAATCCTCAGCGTGTGTCCTGTGGGGACGCCACGGGACTTAATTGAGGCCACCTGTTCCGAAAGGCACAAGAAGAGAGGCGTTTTCTGGAGGTAAAATCACTTCCACAGCAGCGATGTCAAGTGTCCTTTGCTGGTTCATAACGCATAAGGGATGTCTTTTGTGTTTCTGGTTTGCTTTAGAATAAATAGAAGAAGACACAGGCAGGTAGCACAGGTAGTGAACAGGAAACAGCTGAAAAGAGCACCACCACCTGCAAAAGCTCAAACTTCATCAAAGTTCTTCATCTGGTGTCAAATTATCTTATGAAACTAATATAACCATCTGTTAGGGGCACAGCCTCTGAATTTCAATCTTCAGAAAGCTGTAACCTGTTGCTAACAACTGACACAAGAGGGAGCTGCATCATCTGTTCACTGCAGACATGTTTGTTCAGTTTGTGAATGAGTGAATGGGATTCTCAGTAAATCCGCAGGCACAGCCTCTCCTGAGAGCCCGCAAGTCGCTTTGTTATGCAATGTAAGTTGCATTTAAAGTGTCTGAGCACTTTGCTAGTGTGCCTGGTGGAGAAAAAACGACTTTGATATATTGTGAATATAAATAAATTATATTCCTAGTTTTGGATTTGAAGCTGCACATGCATCTTTTGCAGGAGGGGGTAAGTGTTTGTATTGTTGTTTGACTCTGCGGCATCTTTATCCAGAAATCCCCTAAAGCGATGTCATTAAACTAATTGTTTTCTTCTCTGTATGTGTGAAGTCCTGTGGGATAGCTTGTGGATCTAGTACCACTGATGTACAATGAGAGGACAGGTGTAATCTTACACAAAGGTCTTGCCTTAGTGAAGCCGGATGGTGAAATGTGGAAATATTATGTTTATTAAACAAGTGTGAAAGTGTACAGCGTCACAGATTTCCACTGCAATCCATTAAAGTGCAACAGACGGCAAGCAATTAAGTAACGTGCGATAACATCAGGAAGGGCAAATAGGTCTGTGCATTTGAACAGACAAGTGTCATTGAGTGAAAGAATTAATGAAAATATGTGTTTTGAAAAATCAGGGTGTGATGGCAGAGAAGTGGCAGGAAGCAGGTGTGGTATTAGCCATTTTGGGGCCTTGGGGGAGATTTTGGCCGGGGCGGTCCCCTCTGCACCTTTTTCTCCTTGTGATTTTTAATTTAATTTGAATATTTACAGTTGAAACGTGTTCAGGTGAAAGAGTGTAAAAGACTCATTTTAAGTACAAAAAAAACCAAAACATCCTGGACATAATTCTCAAACACAAAACATCAGTTCATGGTTCACTGTCCAGGTTATCATTCCAGAGGTGTACACATACACACACACACACACACACACATTTGCACGTGCATGAGTCCGGCACTGCACTGGATCTTCCCTCCCACTGACAGATGGATGGGGTTAATATCATAATTAAGCACCTCAGCCGACGGTTCCTGTTTACCACTCGGTTGCTAGGCAGTGACATCAGCTGATCCCTCCCCCCCATCCTCTCTAATCCCTTCCCTCTCCCTCACACTCCCTTACACACACACACACACACCACTCTCTCTGCTCTCTCTCTCAGATAGGCAGCACAGACGTGGGCAGAGTGTGGGGGTATAGGAAGAGGAGAGAGCAGGAGGGTAGGTAGTAGTGTGTGTGAGGCTGTCAGACAGCATGGTCTGGGTCTGAGGACAGCACAGGAAGACGCAGCAGCAGCAGCAACAGCAGCAGCAGCAGCAGCAGCAGCAGCAGCCTCCAGATCTCCATGTAGACCAGTGTGGTGACATCCACAGATCACCTGGACCACAGCACCCACCCAGGACAACACCCACCTCTTCCAGGGAAGCAAGAGGAGGAGGAGGAGGAAGAGGAGTACGAGGGGGGTGGGTCTGTTTATCTTCTTTTTTTTTTTTTAATTTCTTTTCTCAGTTTTTTGGTTTTGGGAGTAGGCTCCGGGCTGGACCGCATGCATGACACAACGCAAAGGCGAGAAACCCACCATCAGCATCCAGGAGCACATGGCCATTGATGTGTGCCCTGGCCCCATCCAGCCCATCAAGCAGATTTCTGACTACTTCCCCCGTTACCCACGGGGCCTCCCCCCTGCTGCGCCCCACGCCGGGTCCCTGCGCTCTGCCCTCTCCACCTCCTCGGCCGCCGCCACTCCCGAAAGTGACCGCCCCAATGAGGACAACCCAGACCGGGCTTGTGCCGGAGCCTCCGCCTCCTTACAGGCCGGCAGGAGGGACGAGGAGCCTGATGTGGAGGGATACGACTCAGATGACTCAAGTGAGTGATGATTTCCCCTTTTTGGTATCTCCGTCCTACTGTTTACCATGGTGTTTTCCAACATGTCTACATGTGTGTGTCTATCCCTTTTAGTTCTTCCTCTCCCTCTCCCTTTCTCTTATTACTGCATCTCCATTTTTGCCACCGGTTGCCAGGCATCCCTCCAGCCGTGTGGCTTTGTGGCTTTATCTGTCACCTTTTCTTCTCTCAGCTTCCTCATCCATCTTTTTCTATTTCCGATTGCCCAGTGTGTGTGTCTGTGTGTGTGTGTGTGTGTCTCTCTCTCTGCATGTGTGTGTGTGTGTGTGTGTCTGTGAGTCTGTCTGTGTGTGCATGCATGTTGTGTGTCCCCCATGTGTGCGTCTCTGTGCTGCACCTAACTCTTTGCCTCTCAGTCGTCAGACAGCCAACTGTTGCTGCTGCAAAGGATACAGCTCCCCCTCCTTCCCTCCCTCCCTCCCTCCTCCTCTTCTCTCCTTCTCCAACTGAAAGGATGATATGTGTGTTTTTACTGAAGCAAACGCTTGCAATGTGTCTGCCAACGAGTGTATGTGTGCATTTTTCATATCCCCAGTGTGTACAGGGACGCTCAGTCTGTACTGTCGGTCGGTCTAACCAGGTTGAATCACTCAGCGCTTGTTGATGAAGCTTCACATTAGTCGCAGTTTTGCGCTCAGCGGAGTCTGTCTGCATCTGTAAGCTCGTCCACATACTGTACTGGCTTGTGGCAAGACGGGCAAGTTCCAGCTGTGTGAGCATTAGTGTTTGTCCTGTCGGTCTGTTGTGTTTTCCAAAGCATAAAGATGTGTGTGTGTCCATATCTGTCTTCATCACAGAGGGGAGGCTCCTTTGAGAAAGCCTTTGCTGAATGTCATTCCGTAAATCTAACACATTCGAGTGGCTGAATGATAATGGGAATTAATGGCACACAGAAGAGCTATTAGAGCAATAACATATCACAGAGCTGGATCAAGACCTCTATATACTGTGAAACCATTTTCACTGCCAGCAAATATCTTCACAGACAGATGATGCGTCTGCACCAGTGCTGAGAACTCGAATAAATGTAGTGCCAGAATGAAAGCTGCTGCTACCTGCATCATCTTTTTTTTGTTGTTTTTTTTTTTAAACAAACCTCAGGATCTATCTGACAAATTAGTGAAACCGTGAATTAGTCTCTGTTTTAGCATTCGGTTCCCACTGAACTTGGCCCGGCTGCAGCTCGCTCTGAGCGACGTGTTGCTCTCACTGTACACGAAAACAGTGCAAACACCGCACAGAGCGTTTGTATCAGACTCCCGTTCTAGAGGTTCGTCGCGTGTGCTCTCCGCACAAGAGACTTGTGATTGCAGGTTAATGTGTGACAGCAGGGCAGCTTCTCTAAGACTTAATCCATGCAGAGTGGCATGCGGAGAGAGAGGGGGGGGGGGTAGGTTTAGGCCATCTCTAATCCAGAACTGGACAGGCAGGAGGGGGGATGGTAGAGTGCAGGGGAGGTAGGTCGGGCCTGGCAGATGTTGCTCTCTGACCTCTGCCAGGCAACCAGGATTTCAGTCCCTGGGGGAAAAAAGAGATGGAGAGATGCGTTCTCCTAATTTGTCAGAGCAGTCCCTCGATCTGTGGTACACTTGACTTTTGCACAGGGATGTGACTTTCTGAGGGTGTTAGCTCTTTTGTTTACCGCACTTGGGAACTATTGCCAGCTGCAAGGAGGTACGTCTTGCCCTTGTTTTTGAAGCTTTTCAAACAGTCAACCAGTTCTGTCCTGGCGTTTGTTATGTAGTAAATGTTACTGTTAACCCCAGGTAAAATACATATTTCATACACTCTCATTTACAATAAGCTACAGGTACATGCATCTGTGAGCCAGGTAATAAATCCATCTTAGTTTCGCCGTGCAGATCCAAGAGGAGTGTAGACATAAAGTATCACCTTACATCCTCTACATGACCATAAGTACTGAAACCACAGGAAGTGCTTTCTACTTGTTGTCCCCACGTGCAGCCAAGCATAAGAGAGATAACTTCGGCAAAGACCGGAGCCGCTGTTGATCAGGAGACAGACCATTAGTCAGACGTTTGGCGGTTTGATCCCAGCTCCTCCTGTCCAAATGTCGGGCTTCTCCTGCCCGCATGTTGCTCCTGATGGGCAGGCCAGTACCTTGCATGCAGATGGGTGACTGACAGCGTGTGAGAATGGGTGAATGAGAGAGCGCTTTGTCCACTTATAGGTAGAAAAGTGCTACATAAGTAGAGTCCATTTACCATCGCCTCCCGTTTTCAAAGGGACGAGGTGCAGAAGCAAGGCAGGGTTTGAACTTCTCTTTCAAGATTTTTCCTTTTTTTCACTTTTTCGTGTATACATCCAAGTGCAACACTATGAATGGCTGTGAGGAGCCTCTGCCTAAAACTGTCCACCCTTACCTGATTTGTACAGTTCATCATACAGAGACTACAAAGGCTTCCAACCCCACTTTAGAGTGGAGCCATTCAGGAGCGGGTATGAACTCCTTTGCCTTTAGACATCATTTGAAGACACGTCATATGTCCTAGATCAAAGCACACTGAGGTCTCAGAGGTTACGTATGCAACTAGGAAAGACAGATGTGGACCTTTAAAACATCTGGATAGAACGTGTCTTTGGTTCTAATCCATCTAATGCCTTTTGGTTTCATTTACACTTGACTTTTCTTGGTAACAGTAGCAATCCAATATGCTTTCAACAGCGAAGTCTAAATGTGGTTGGATACATGCAACAGGTGATGGGATGTTGTGGCGTGCATACAGTTTCTGTAACTTTATCAAACTGCTGTTGGTGCGCAGCTACTAACTTACTTGTTGCCAAGGTGTCAGTTGAGGATCAGTCACAGCGCAGGTTTATGTAAGTGTCAAACCACAGCTTCTCTCCATCCTCCCTGCTAATAAGGCAATTAGACACAAACATCTGCCACAGCATCATCTTAATGATTTTACAATCACTTGAAGAGTCATCAGTGATGAAGGATAATTACGATTCCGACTCCAAGGAAAAGAAAAGTGTTGTCAATGTAATTAGAATTAATTGGAAATAAAAAATATTGGATGTTTGAGTCAACTGGTGTAGGCTGGAGGCACTAGAATGAATAAATGAAAAAATAAATAACAAATGGCCGTTTGGGTCTGATGCAACATCCAAAATAATCCCAAGCTACTGCTGCTGCCATGGGAGGACAAACCTAAGGTGTATAAACAAAATACTCCTGCAGCACATGAGACTGCTTTAAAGGAAGTCACTACTGCTATCAGTTACTGTACATTAGCGTCAACAAAACACTTTACCAAAGGTGATATACTTTGCATTCCTGGCTCAGGTTTTCGTGTATTTTCCTTGTTCCTGTGGTGACAGAAAACATCACCTCATCCTGGGACAGTCACAGGTGCACAGGTGCAATGCAGCTTTATAAGTCAAATATCATCAGTGATCATCAGGTCTTTTCCAGAATGCCTCACTTTGCACCAAAGCTTCACAGTCATCCATTAAGAAATTCTTTGTACAAACAGACTCAATGGACCAAAACGCACCGAGACAGATTATCTTTTTGTGTTTGTGTACGTGTTTTCGATTAGGGAGAAAAACTCTGACGTGAGAACTCTGAGAAATCAACTTAATTCTTTATAATTTGAAAAGATTTTGACGCCACAACCTTGTACAGCAAAAAACATTGCTTGAAGAATAAAAAAATAAAATAAAAATAAGTAGTGGAGTATGCAACAAGCATTAGAGGCTGATACTGTGCAGTACCTTGAAAGGATTTCTCCTTTTATATTGCTCCCATAATATGGAGCATTGAAAGATCTGCTGAAGGACAGCTGAAACCAAGGCTGTTTGAGAAAAAGCTCAGTATATAAGCCAGGAACACGTCCTATCAGTTATGAGCAGAGAAACAGCTTCCACTGGACAGCAACGGGCTCATAAGAATAACAATTATGAATGGTGGAATTTCTAACCACTTTCTCCTGCCTTATCAGCTCAGCATGTGTATGGGTTGATAAAGTTTCAACACACTTGTTGTGAGGTTGATCTGATAATTCTTGGCCTCATACGTATGAGTCACACACTGAGGTAAAGTAATTTCTCTTTGCTGGCAGTGCAGCAAGCAGCGCTGTGATTTGTTAGACTTTCGAAAACCTGCGCAGGAGATTTAACTTTGACTCTGTTGCTGTGTGAAATAAGAGGAAGGAACTCTCTGCTTCCTGTTGTTTGTGATTTAAAAGAGCCAGCGCTGCCCCAAATTGGCTGCTCATGGTCCTGCGGGACTTGATCCAGTATCTGCATGCGTCCTCTGGAGGGGGGGTGGAGCGGCGTGGCAGTGTACTCCCTCATGAACCAAATCACACAGGGACATCTCAATCCTCGCTAAGAACCTGCTGGTTAATCTGCATAACAGCAGCATTATCTGATTCATCCTGACTAAAACTTGAGTTTAATTGAAACGGAAAAGTGCATCACCCACCAAGTGTCCCTGCTCCCCTGCGAGAGGGGGTAATCAGACCCAATTGGACATCCGGATCTCTGCCACATCAATTAGTGGTTGTTTACGGTGGGTGTAGAGGGCCACATCCCTGCCGGGGACCAGGAGAAATAGCCGGTGTGACCCACATGACAGAGCAGGCTGTTGTGTTTTTTGAGAGATAAGCCTCAGAGCCGTATCTGTTGACAGGGCAGTGCCGGATGGGTTGGTGGGAGGTGGCGGTGGTGGTGGTGGTGGTGGTAATGTATGCACACACAGGTCTACTGCTGTCTCCTCAGTACAAGACTTGAGCTACAGTGTTTGCTTGTAGATGTCAACTGGTGAGGTGCAGTCAGAGCAGGAGGGAGCTGAGCAGAACAAGGCAAAATGATGTGTCAGAAAAAGGAAGTAAAATCTATATTTAGTTGAGGTTTGTGAAATGCGACAGAATTTTCTCAGTTGTTTCCTGACATCTTTGAGATTGTGACTCACGCGAGATAGAAAAAAGGAT